TTTCACCTCAGTCACTGTAACTTTCTTCTCCACTTCAATCTTCCTTGTTCTAGCAATTCCAATCCTAACCACTACGTGGTTTATTGGGCCTGATATAATGATTCTAATAATCCCCTCAAGGCTGGGGATTCAATACCTCCAGTTCGCAAACCAGCTGTTGATAAAGAGGTACTTCCTATTTGTGGTTTTTAGCGTTTTAATACAGGTTCATATTTCTGTCCAGGAGGAGTCTCTGTTACACTGTGCTCCTCATACACCGATTTGTATATCATACGCAAGATTTGTCGTGTAGGTATAGGAAAGTCAGGGCTACAGAATCATTGCTTCCAGTTGGGAAACTAAACTACAGTACTTTCTTGTTTATCTATAAAGCCCTGTTTCCGAGGATGTGTTCTGACTCTTCTTCAATGATTACATTCTTCATGAATAATATTAATAAACCAATTTGTAAACTCTGTTTCATTATACTGCACTAGTACAGTGGAATACACCCAAATTAAAAAAAACAAACTGTTTTGACAGTGCATGTCTTTTTAGCCAAATTTATTTCTAATTTCAAATCTAATCAAATCTTCTAGATTTAAACAGAACACACCTTGTGAAATACTCACTTTTCATTTATTTACAAATCAGAAGCTCCATGTTGCATTCAGAATTAAAGTAGGGGTTTAGTGAGCTATTACTCTGCATATTATAAACTGAAACTGGGAAAAAAAGGATAATCATTATTCCAACATCAGTACCATATATATTTTTCCTTAATCAAAACACTGAATGCCAAGTCACCATGTCCAGTAAACTCTACTATGTTGTAATAATCCAGCCATGTCATTTTTGTTTTTATTTGGTTAAGATGTTAAAAAAGTCTTCTTTAAATAGAATATGTTTATGACAAATTATAGCTGATTGTTATAACAGGTGATGCTCCATTTAACCGAGAGGTCATTCAGGGTCGGTAACTCGAGACATAGTGGTGGAACAGTGTGGATCTGCAACAGGCAAGACACAAATACAAATAACCCCTAATCATTACAATACTCATTTACTGGACAAGTCATCATTTTGGACTAACAATGTCTTTTTTTAAATTCAATCTTCTTTAAGATTTTTGTTCCCAAATCTTAAAGAAGGAAAGAGATAGAACAGGTATGTAAACTGAGCGACCTTATCTAAAAAATGCAGTCATTTATCATCTTTCCATGTTCATGTGACCTGTCAAGTGTTGGTTAAGAACATACATTGACCAACATGAGTAAATCTAATTGAAGAATCTAATTTGTAGTTCTTCAATTTCATTGGAAGGGAGTGAATACTTCTGCAAGGGATTGTAAGACTAGGAATCAGAACTCTGGGGCTCTGGCATACATCTGTGGCACAGTGGAACTTTTGTAACCTAGCTGCATAAATTCTTGAGGGGTTCAGATGTAGACTCTTCATGTTTGTGGAGACACTGAATTGGGGGTCTCTACACGAAACTAAGGTAAGTGTGACTAGAATTTGTGGATATGGATTACTTAGCTGAGGAGGTCTTAAAAGGACTGACACTCAAATGGATTTAGAGTATCAATTGTAAATGTGTCTTGAACAGTAGACCACCCACAGATAAGTAACGATTTTCTTTCAAATGCATCACGTGAAACACAAACTGTCCAGTAATCCGGGATACCCTTATTTGTTGGTATCCATGGAAATTTAATGAGAAAAATGCACATAGGAAAGAAAAATGGTTAATTAGATGCTTGATTCAAAGAAATGTTCTACTTGTGATTGTAGTTATTCTAATCCTGCTGTGATGAAAGAGCTTTTGAGTTGAAACTATTATAAATCGTGTGCATGCTTGCCTAAGACAAGTAGACATTTGTAAAGTTACAGGCTTAAATACAAATGAAAGCTTAGGTAAAGGAATGTGACAAGAGTAATTTACTACTGGGTAATTTGGGATGCTGTTTTGTATGGAAAGAGATGCATGTATTATTCCAGTTAATGAAGTATCTATCTGCACACAGAAACAGATAAATTCCATATTCTTAACTGTTCAGTGGATTCACTTACAGTTTGGATGCATTGGTGTTTTATCTTATCAAGACCTATAAGATGTACAGTATGAGGAATGAGGAAAGAATGAACAGTATTTACAACAAATCTAATGGTGTATTTAATTCTGGAATGTGCTTTCACATGTTCAGGAAATTTCAGGTTTAAAGCTTTTAGAAAAGAAGGTTAATCAAATGTTTTCTGCAAAAAAAAAGTTAGAAAACACACTGGACTGATTCTAATATTTTGATAATTACAACATATACTTTCTAAAATGAAATCTCTGTTTTAGTGGTAGTCTTGTGTACATTTACTAGGCAATTTTAAGGGCTTCACACACAATTTTAAGGGCTTCACACACACAAGGAGAAGAAGGTGAGATAAAGTTTTCTTAACACGCCACCTGGCAGCTGTTTTATTAATCAAACTACAGTAAACTTCTGCTTCAAAAGAAACCTTTACAAGGCACAAATTGCTTACAGTCACGCCAAAAGCCAACACAGTGTGTTCCAATGTACAACGCCCTCCCTCACTTTCACAAATGGAAGCAAACTTAATTATTTGTAATTGCATTTAGTATTCTCAGCAAAAAATGGCTTACACTTAAGACGTTGAAGCTGAAAAAGCATATTAAATAATGACAAGAGGGTGAGGAAATGCTGCAAACTATTCACAAAATAAAAAAATAAAATGAAATAAAGCTTTAGAACAATATAGTTTCTGAAATACGATATCTCATAAAATTTCCTATTTAACAAGTGGGGTAAAAAAAATCTTTTTAACACAAGTCTTTTAGTCAGTTATATTGTGTTATTCAGAAATTGATACATTAAATTAATTAAATAAATATATTTTAAGATCATTTTGCATATATTGAATGCTTCACTGATTTGGTGTATTTCCTAGCTTTAGTATAATGATATCTATGATGATACTGTGCAGTGCCTTAAGTTTCTACCACTGATTTGTTCCATAATCGGTCTCAGCTGATCTACAGAGACTTCATTTCGTAATAGCAAGAAAGAGAAGTGGCACACTGGAGCAGTGTTTAGAATTGCTGCCCCACTGAGACCCAGGGTTCAATCCCGGACCTGGGATGCTATCTGTGTGGAGTTTGAATGTTCTCTGTGCTCCTCTGGGTTTGCTCCTAGTGTCCCAGTTCCCTCCCACAGTCCTAACACATTCAGGTAGGTTAACTGGCTTCTAGGAAAACTAGTCCTGGTGTGAGTGTGTGCATGTCTGTCTGTTTGTGCCCTGTGATGGACTGCTGTGCTGTCCAGGGTGTACCCTGCCTTGCACCCATTGCTTGCTAAGATAGGATCCAACTCCTCTGCAACCCTGTATTAAAAGAAGAGCTAAAAATGGATAGACGAAGAACTAAAAACAAGAGCAGCAGAAAGTGTGAGAAGCTTGAAGGAAACACTCTCTCAATGAGAGTAAATAGGGGTCCATTAAAGATGTAGATCTGTGCCTAATGAATTAGAATGCGGTAAAAGGCTTTGTCTCGGTTACATTTGTTTCTAGACTGAGGACACAAATGTAGAAACAGTTCTCTACCAAAATTCAGCAGGACTCCAGTAAGAGGGAATACGAAGAGGAATGGACAAAAGAAACAATACCAAACCTCCTAAATGAGAGCATGCCCTTTTTAATGTGTTTTACAGGAGTGTGGGAGTATGGAAAAAGCTACCCAATAACGTTTTGATGCTATTAACTTGGCTTCTTTCAGCTGATTTGGTCAAGCAGCAACAAACTACTCATGTTCTTCAGCTAAAGCCTTTAAAAGGAACATCATGTAGAAAGAGAAAACAATTCTTACAAAAATGTTTCAAGATAAATGCATTTCAAAAGGGAATTTATATCCGGTTCTTTCAGCGTTGAGATAATCAGACAATTCAATGATAACAGAGGAAGATTAAAGACTTCAAGATGTGCGTGTGTTTAGAAGTGGGTGACATAATTCAAAGTAAGAAGCAGGTGGACTTCCCTCCAATTTAAATATTATGAAACTGTGATTCTGATGTTCAGAATAAAAGCAGTTGCCACAAAACAGCAATAGGGGGTCAGTTCTAAAAACACTCTACAGTTTCCAGTCATTCTGGGAGATATCCACCCTACATTTTTCCCTACAATGTGCAGATTAGTGATGCTGTCTGCTGGTGAATTCAGTAAAAATTCAAATCTCATTTTTTTCTAATTTAAACTCTACAAGGAAATAGTTTTAAGAATATGATGGAATGTAAAGTGCTTTTATTTTTCCAATGTAAGGTGATTTGGAAATTAGAAATTCTACCAAAAACTTAAATATCTCCAAGAGATGAGGTGGTTTGTGTGTGCATGGTCAGAAGTATGTTTCTCAAACTCGACACATGTTGTTCAGCACCTTCACAGATCTAAAAAATGTGGCCTACATTATATAAGTATGAGGGTCTAGGATTAATAAAGGCTCTCTTGATCTGATGTTGAAATATCCCCCACCCAATAATAAATTACATTCATCAACTTTTATCATAAAAAGGTGGAAAAATGACAAAGCCCTTGTCCAGTTTGTCTTATTGGCCACCTGCCCATTATTGATGAATTAGGCAAGTAATACGTTCAATCTTTAGAATTCTGCTCCATGAGGGATAAAAGTACTGTACTTGGATTTTAAAATGAAATCTAATTGATCTGTAAGTAATATATGCATCAGTGGCTTTTTTGATCTCTAGCTTTCCAGAAGCCAATTAATCTACATACAAACTCCATGCAGAGAGCACCCCAAGAACAGAGCTCATGTGAGGCAACAGTGGTGCCCTAGGCTATACATGTAAGCCGATCTTTTATCACTAAAACACACCACCAAGTGTGAATAAATAAAAAAAAACTTTTATTTTTTGAATTTTTACAAAATTTATAAATACACAAGTACAGTTTATGTAGTTAAAAACGAAAACCAAGTAGAAAAAAAAGACAATGTGCCCAAATTAATTTAAAAACAGTGCATTTTTCCATCATAAGCATAACATATGTACAGTTTATATTTGTCATATAACGCCACATATACATTTAAAAATGTACTGTATCGGTGAAAATCGGTAGAAAAAATAAAAATTTCTTAAGAACGGCTGCAAGAAGCCGTTTACATCGCTAAGGATGTCACTGGCGCTGATATCCACGACAGTGTCCTACACAGTCTCAGCAGTCCTCGCTCTGTACCATGGAGATGAAGAAATTACACAGGGAGCTCCAGGTTTCGCTGCAATACTCTTCGGCCACTTTCTTCTGGTCAGTGTTTTCTGGGCAGTTCTTTTTGCCTGTCGCAGACGGCCCCCCTGTGGTAGTTTTAGCGCGGCTCTCCTTGGTTTTCGAAAGAGTTTCCTCCGCTTGCGACGAGGTGCTGGGGCTCAGCTTGAAATGAGCGTCTTTGGGGGCTTTCTTGCACATCCCCGCTTTGATCAGGGCCGTGGCGTCTTTGCACAGGTTCTTCTGCTTCTTCAGCGCTCGGGTGATCTGTTTCCAGTAGGACTTGGGGTTGGAAGCGAACTGCGGACAGGCGGAGGGTTTGGCGGTGTACTCGCACGCCAGACTGGCGTCACCCTTACCGCAGTTGACGCTCAGGGTGCTTACGTCTCCTCCTGTGGCCAGCCAGGTGCACAGCGCCTTGTCCTTGGTCGGGAACTTGCCCTTCATCACCTTGCCCGCTTGAGCTTTCTGACCCCGCTCGCTCTTGTCTGTGGGGGCAGAGGGCTGTTTTTCGGGCTGCGCTGGCTTTTCTTTGCCCTCTTTCTTCCTCTTCCTGCCTTCCTCTTTTTTCTCGCACTCGGCTACCAGGACCATCTGAGCGATGCAGGCAAGGACCAGGACCAGGGCAAAACTTTTAAAAAACCTCATGTTTTCGTCCGACGTCTGGCGATAAACCTGTAATAATAAATAAGAATGTTACAAAAACTACACACAACCAAACCAGCAAGACTTTAAAAACGTTAATTGCGTGATGGCATGTCATGCTTTGGTCCTTACGCATTATCACGGCATATACACTATATATAACTATGCTATTCTAATTATGCATACTATTTTTGCTGAGAGAAATTTTAAAATAAAAAAAATATTGTAGTTATTCAAGAATATACTGATTGTCATCAAAGGTCTTCACGCACTGAGCTTATTTTGCGTTCGTTTCGCAAGAAACTAAAAAAATATATTAATTTTTCAATTTTTCGTAGCCATAGAATCTGGGAGAGAAATTGAAACACGACACACAGAAAGAAACGCAGCTAAACATTGAAGTACTAGTTGAAAGCCGACCTACCCGTCAGTGGGAGAGCGAGGCAAGGAGTAAGATGGACTTGATCTAGTACACCTGGTCTGCGCGCCGGTGTAATTTATACACCAATGTCACGCCTATCGGTACCTCCCGATCGCCAGATATTACAACACAGTGCGATTCCGGAATCCTCTTTCATTCCTCAGCACATACCACGCAATGCTGGAGCCGAATCGCTTGTGGTGTTCAAACAAGCTGTTACACATCAGATGAAAGAAGGGTGAAGTGGCCGTCATTCGGGCATTACGGTAACATGATACAACATGAAAGAAAATGCCTTTTTTGGAAGCAGCTTTGATGTCACGTCGCTTCTCCGGTTATACATAACGAGGGTGTTACGACTCAAAAGCGCTTGAGGCCGAGGATTTGTAAAGTAGGGCGCAAGGTAAAGACACGCTGGATACTCTCCAGCTACCCTGCGTATCACCTGCCACCTGACTGCTCGGGCAGCCCGAGGTTTTGCATGTGACTTGTAAGTGAATTAGAAACTTCCGGATCCCACTGAGAGGTTTAGCACTCTGGAGTGGAGTAGCACTGGGATACTTTGACATTTCTTTAAACGTCGCAAAGTGCTTTCTAAAGGTAAAAGTTTACTCTGTAGAAAATCTCCCCAATAAGTAAAAGCGTCCCTAGAGGGACGAGAAATCTCGTCCTCTAATATGGTGGACGAGATATAGTTATATATAATATATATATAAATTCCTATAATATAGTGGTTCTCACCCCTGGTCCTGGGGGGACGTGTTATGAGTTTTCATTCTTCTTGAACTCCGCGTCTCCAGCGCTCACTGATGAGTTAATTATTCTGCTTCTTTAGACTTTTATTTAACTTGTTTCTCGTGTTAGTCCTGGGTGTCAAAACACTCGACTTCAAGGCTACCGTTTCGAACAACGTCAGCCCACAGAACCTGTATGCAGCCTCTTTTCAATTTGCCACTGGTAGGAAATGAAAATGTAAATGTGTGGTGAAATAAATACATAATCATTCATGACTTTGCACAATACATAAAAATGAGTAAACTCTTACCTTTGAAAGGTTAAAGCTGTGGACGCTCATAACTCCTCGCACTTTATCCAAAATCTTTACTTTCCCCGCGATTGTCCCGGACGGGTTTCGTTCTCCACACTACCCCTTACGTTTCAGGTGCCTTGCGTATAGATGTCAAACTGAGCGTTAAGAGAGATGAGACCAAAACTAAGTACAAAAACGGCCAAGAAAGGCAATTACGACGATTTCTCTGAATGTCGGCAGCGACAAAGTACCCAAATAGTGAGAGAGAGGGGTGGCTCTGCAGGGCTGAAGACATTACTGTAAGATTCTTGAACGCCTTGTAAGTAGCAACATACAACCGAGCCAAGTCATGTTTTCCGTGTTCGACAGATATTTCTTAGCGCTGATTTTTTACCGTATATAATTAAATCATAAAGAAAGGATTATTGTACATGAAGTGCACTACAACAATGTAAGACATATAGTATACAGATGTGCTCTACATCTTAAGTATACTGTATGCACTCATTTCAAAACTAATTTAGACTAATACTGTATTTTATGTTTTCTATTTGCGGTTAGACTTAAGGTGTTAAGCCGCTTCTAATGCCGTTGTCATTAAGCAAATGTATTCTGATATGCAGTTGATAAGATAGTGGCGATTAATCAAATTGTGAAACTTGTGAAAACATAAGCAGATGCAGATAAAGGTGTATTACTGTAGGTAGCTGGGCTAAAGTTTAGTTACAGTCACAACATTCCACTGTAATCACAATTAGTAATGAAATACATAATCACAGTCGTAATTGACTACATGTTTGCTTGCAATACACTTCCACGAATCTTGGGCAAAGAGGAGTACAGAATATAGTGTACACGTGTGCGGGTCCTCACCTGACCCAGTATTATTGACACATACTGTACAATGGCCTAATCAGCAGGTTGAGAAAAAAATCATGAACCCAGACTAATGTTACTGCTCTTAGATAATCTGTGTTGTACTCTACTGTTGCAGGGGTAAGGAAAGGTTCAATATCATGTGGAAATCAACTTCTGTTTAGTTTCTATCTGTTCTAAACCTGACTTTCAGTCCCTCATTAAATATGAGAATAAGTCAATTGGATTTCAATCTGTAATAACTCGTATTCATTTATATTTTGCACTAAAATTTTTCTGCTTTCTGAAGTGAAGGGCAATATTATGTATACCGGTCAAGTTGTGTAATTTGTAGATGCTTTTTAAAAAGAACTTGGGTAGAACCTAGCTTTTCAAAATCCATTTTGACAATTCCCTAGTATTTTGATGTGGGTAATCCTATAGTTTAGATCTAACAATTGTTTCCATTACCTTACATGCAATAAACGTAAGACTTCTTGGTCTGTAATTACTTGGTTCTGTTGTGCCATCCTTCTTGGACAAAACAGTAGCAGTTTTCTAGTCCTTGGGTACTACCGCTATCTTGATAACTGCTGAAATAGTTCTTTATCTCTTATTTCTTGAGTATAAGTGGTAAGATGCCATCAGGCCCTGTGGATTTATTCATTTCTGAATTATTAATTTGTACTATTTACAATAAAATAATATTAATTATATTTACAATATAATAACAAAATTGTCAGCAGAGAAGTACATGACAAGTACATGAATTACATCTCTTTCATATTAATATTTAAATCAGAACTTTGTTTTTCCACTGCCTAAAGCATGATTGTTGACTTCTTTCTTAATTTTCTTTTATAGTCTAGAAGTTTCTCATTACTGTCAATTGTGCTTTCAGTTTTGTGGTAATGAAATACATTTTTTATTTATTTGAGCAAGAACATGTCTGTTGTACTCTTTTTAGGAAATCCTTTCTTTTTCCTTACATTTTTCCCCCAATTGATCTGTTGGGAGCTGTGTCCTTGTACGAGGATGCTCTCTAGTGTGTTCATGTTTTCATTTCCAACCATCGCTCTGATAATTATTTGAGAAGCCATCTGCATAAGTGGTCAAAATGAAAGGTTTGTTTAGAAATTGATGATTTAAAGATGATCCATACAGTATCCTGGCTACTCAGGACCTGTGTTGGCCACTCATGATGATACAGGCCAGCATTGATAAAAATTCAAGAGTTTGAGGGAAAAAAAGCACTGTAGTTCTGGACATTTAATTCACATTGCACTCATGATATCTAGAATCATTCTGTATATCACTCTAAAAAGCCTTTGAAAGGCCTGATTTCAAGTCCTTTAGTGTCGTTTCACACATTGTATTTTTCTGTTGACAAATGTAGTAGCTCCACACAGTGGAGATATAGTGTTACAGTTTTCCAAAAGGCAGAAAATTAAGTTATGCTAGTAATGGACAAATTATAAAACCAGACATAAAACTGAATGTCACATTTTATATATTATGACATTAGAAAAAATAATGTTATCATAATCAGTGCAATTCTTTGCTACAGGTATGTACAAATAATGTTTAGGGTTAAGGCATTTTGGCAGATTTTCAGTATAGCCAAGTTTTGTGTAGAGTATATAAGAAAAGAATTTCTAAATGAATAAAACAGCAGACACAGTAATATATTTTTATTTCCATGAAGGCAAGAACTTCAGATGAAGGAAAATCATGAACTTGCAGAATATAATTAGAACACACAAGTCTTTGTTTTCCTTCTGGGCAAATTACCCACTAGTTTACTTGCTCTGTGTCTTCAACAGAGCACGTCTTTATAACTCTGTCCAGTAATGCAAAATGTCTCCACTAAAGCCACAGTGTAAGAAAATCAGTCATGGCAGCTATGGAATAACCACAAGAGACAGACCCACACTGTCATTTTATTTGATTTACTTGTGTTTGTAATTCTTTCCCATTTTTTCACAACAGCACTTTATAAAGTAACACAGAACTTTGGGAGAAAGCTTATGAGTCAAGGTGCACACATAATGCCACAGCAGAAGTAATATAAGCTCTTGTTCGTCATACTAACCCAAGAAGACACGGCCCTTTGAATGAATTCACACAGTGTGACACAGTAAGCACATAAAGTGTGGTGCAACAGAAACAGACTAAAGCTAAGAATATACTTGGTATTTGACATTGAGGGCTTTAAGTATATTAGGTAAGATGTTTAGAGTTAGCAACTCACCAGGACTGTAAACCTTTAGGTTGTGGATTTCAGGAGTTTGACTGACTGAACCATTATCTCCTACTGCATTGTGCTAACATACGGTATGATTTAAACAACTGATTATTAGGAGATAAAGACAGACAATAGAACAGACAGCTTTGAAATGAGTGGAAACGCAGGGGTGAGCTTATGACGGATCATTAGCAACACATAATGGGGAAAAAAACTCTATTGACAGAACAGGCAAAATTCAATATTTGTAAACAGAATGAGATTATGCTAATGAAAGCAAAACATTCTGTTTCCTCTCAAGAAAAACGACCTAAGTTTACAAATAGTTCTGCACTTTGAAGTCTTCTTTGCAGGAAAATCTAACCTACGAAACAGAAAACAGTCTTTCAGAGTTTACTCATTACATTGTATTTCTAAAAAATCCTGTAGACGGTGTACCCAATTGAAGGTTATTAAGAACAATATTAAAAAGCAGATTTCAAGGTCGTTTCACAAGCTGTTCGGTATGGGAATATGAATACTTTCAGATGAGCATAGCTTCAACTAAAAATCAATTACAAAAGTAGCAATTGCAAATTAACTCCACTGAGACATAAGATACCCTAATACCCTTCATTTGTTGTCATATTACAGCAATAAAAATCTCTTAAAAAAGCTACAACATTTAAGACCAATCTGAAATCTGTTGATCGATATAAACTATATTACTTTAACAAGAATATACTGACATTTTAATGAACTTCACACCAGTTTAACATGGTGTTTTAAAAGTATATTTTGTTGTTCTTACTGGGGGAAACATTAACATTGCTGTTTAAATCAATGAAATGTGCATTTCCCAGTGTGCCTTACCTGGAAATTTAGCCCTTGAACAGGTTGATAAAATAAGCACAGACCCCTTGAAGGGATTCCCAGCAGTACTCTTGTGCCATCTTGTTGGCATCGGCTTCACTGCTGGGCACCAGAGTGGGTTGAGCTGTCGCGGTTTTCGGGGGCTTTGGGAGCTTTTTCGCTGGTTTTGACTGTGCGGGCTTTTCCTGAGCAGTCTTGACCGGTTTCTGCGACGCCGGCTTGGGGCCGACTGCCACTTGCTTCATGTGGGCGTCAGCGGGGGCCTTCTGACACATGCTGGGCTTCAGCACGGCGGTCCCCTGGCAGGCGTGGGTCGTCTTCCTGAGCTCCGAGCTGATCTGGTTCCAGTACTGCTTGGGGTTGGCGTTGAAGGAGCGGCAGACGGAGGGCTGGCCCACATACTCGCACCAGTAGGACTTGCCTTGGTTCCTGCACACGACCCTGAGCTTCACCTCTCCCTGGCCACCCACCGTCATGGCACAGGCATCTTTGCTCTTGGTGCTGAAGCGGATTAGCTCTTCCCCACCGCTTCTCTTGCTCTGTCCGGCGGCCAGCCACACGCAGCAGGCAACACACAACACTGCACGAGCCCAGGCCTTCATGCTGCACTAGATGGCAGTGGTCTAGGTTTTAGCCTCCCTAAGCACCTCGGACTGAACAGAACTGACTGCAGGTTCCCCGCACTATTTATAACCTCGCTACACAAAGAAGTCATTCAGGTAACCCGCCATGTTAGTCCCTGAAGAGGGCAGGCATTAGTGCTTGCAATTTATGACTATAAGAAATCCAGTCAAATAAACTGCAAACATTAATGAAACATCACCTGAATTAGACATAAATACATAAATACTAATTATATACCTAAAAGCACATTTGTAATGTACAAAGTGATACAGACAGCTCAGGTAGTAGCATACGGTTGCTGTCAAGAGGCTGTAAAAGTTAAGGTGTTGCGGTATTATAAACTGATGAAATTTGTTTCTCTCCGTCTGGAGCACGTTAAACCTGTGCTAGCTGGAAAGTACAAGAAACATACTTGACTTAATATCTGTGACTGAAAAAAACCCAGTTGTACTGTACAAATGAATTCCTTCACTTTTGCCTGAAATGCGGTCATAGGTGAAATGGTCCTGTATAGCAATGAAGCTGTTGAATGTCGAAGGAAACAGGCTTTCTCAATGATTTTAAAAAAAGATAATACTATCTAATACTAGATCTAACAGGGGTTGTGAGCTCAAGTACAGGACGGTACATGAATTATTTATGATAAAAAGTTTTCCCTTTTAACACATTGTTAAAGGTTACCATTTTAAAGTTAACTTGGCACAAGCTTCTTGACATTTTATTTTCTTAAGAATTAACTTGTTCCAAAGAGAAAGGCTGCCTTGTCAGCAGCACAATCTAGAATATAAACATCCGAAGCAGGTTTACTGCACTGGGCAAAATCAAAGACTGGAGCAATGGAGCACAGCCAACCTAGAGGCCAGGAGTCCTTTCCATTCACTAACATGCTGCAGGTTTACAGGAGACGAACTGATCACGCCACTCCGCGAAGTGAAACTGAATTCCATGGGAGGTGTGATTATTTTTTTTACCTTCTATGTAGCGTAGCGCCGTTTAAAGGAAACTGGAGTAGATGATTGATGAGAGCACACGCCTGAACTCTTCCTGTCCTTTCAAAGCATCTGGCTGAGAATTTTGATTTTTTTTTTTCCAGTGGAAACAAAAATGTCTTTTTTTCCCCCCATGGCTTTGCACATTACAACGCATCACTGTTCGCAATAGCAGAACACAAATTCAAGGTTCTTTATAAGGTATAAAATTTCTAAGTAGCAGCACCGTGCAGGAATTGACGGACTTATTCGGTGCTGTAATTGCCTTTTAATTTGGTTCATTCAGAAAAAGGATAAACATAAATGTAGCTGTTCACTTCTTTGATATTCTGATACAGATACATTCCTGGACTTAATGTCCGGCTATGATTGGATGAAGGAAATTAACCTATTTAGTCTTTGGGGAAAAAAAACACTGCAAGGGGACCTTGTAGGACAAGTATTCATCATTCAGCATTGACAAAGCTGACCCAAGGAACTTCTTTGGAATCAACAGTGGAACACAAACCGGAAGAAATGAGGAAACGTAGCAGAAGTATCTTTGAAATAGAGAATAGAGGCAATTTTCTGCACAAAGGGTTGTGTGAGTCTGGGTTAAACTGCCTAGTCTTGGGTATTAAAGCTGACTCCCTGCCTTTCTTTTTTTTTTCTAAACTGGATTAAATCGTCAAATCAATTACTAGCAAGCTAACAAGCTAGGCTGGCTGAGTAGTCTCCTCTCATTTGTTACCTTTATTTTCTTATGTACAGTATGTTTAAAATATCTGATTAAATCATTTAGGCCTCAGTTTCATCATAAAAATGAAGGTTTTGTAGACCAGAATCCCTTAAACATCCAGTAACGTAACTGGAACCATTGTCCACCAAATATTAAGGCACATTATTAGTAACTGAGTAATTACCGTGTCTGTTATCAGAGGAGGAAACAGTCAAATGAAACTGCTGGGTGTTGTCAGTATGTTTTTATTGAACAGGTACAATCTGGAGAGTTAAAAATAGAAACATCATCTACAATGGTGAAGATTATATACAATGTTATTTTTTATCCAACTAAAAAATATCTTAGTGTACTTGCAATATATGAAAAAACACGGTTTACCGAATTTAAATCTTTATTCACATTTTTACACCTTTAGCTAGCCAGTGGTATACATTTCCAGTGGTAGCTATCATCCCACTGTTGTAAACAGCTATTTCACAAAAGTTATGCAACTCTAAACACATGTACATTTACAAGCACCTATAAAATTATATTTGTGAAAAACGTTTTAATTTTACTCTTTAGCACTCATTTATGGCATATCTTACTGGAATTAAGGTAACATACTGCCTTTTGTGTAACATCATGAATAAACGGGTAAATACACAAGACAATGATTAAAAGCAAACAGTGACGGTCTTTAAATGTCCTAATATTTTTGTGTCTTTTTTAATTTAAACGTAAAATCAATGCGAGACATTAGATGAATGACCATCAGGCTAGTCCATTAAGTTCTCTGACATCTTTCAGACTAGTTTTACTCCCAAAGTCCTGAGCTCTACTGTAAAATTTTGGCTTCAAACAGCAGATTTCTTTTTTTCACAGGTCAGAAGTGCGATTATTAGGTAATTAACCATTTCCCCTCTCCACATTTTTTTTTATAGGTAAGACATTAAGCATGACCAGGAATTCAAATGGATTATTAAAGCAAGACTTTTGCTTAAATGAATCCCATCAGCCAACACAACTTTCTTTCCCAACAAAATTCAATACATTTGTTTCTGAATGCTATTTGTTATTTATGACTAGGTGAAAATTTAAATTTGTGTAACAAAAATCAAACCTTTTACTGAAAGAGCATATCCGACATGCAACTTGTATCTAGCGTCTAGGGAACAATTCAGCAACTGCCAGCATGCTTAATCTCGCACATTCATGAGTAACTTTTTAGTGATTGAAAAAAAATAATAACTGATAGCCTGCCTTTCCAGTGACAAAAAATACCCACACAGAATCCTCCCAAAAATCTGCAAAAAATGCTTTTGATATTGCTCGGAAAATATAGTGGTTTAGATCATTGCATTATTTGTGTCAAAAGGGATACTGCTGTCTGTAGTAAACTTTGTACCAGATAGCCTGAGTATTTTTAATCAATATAGCACTGCAAGATATCAATGCAATGATAGCAAGGCTACTGTTGTAACAAACTGCAAGAAGCAAACAAAAAAGTATTAAAAAACATAGAAACTCTTCTTTTTTTTAGAAGTTTTTGCCAGCATATAAAATGTACACTTATTTTTTATATGTATTGCACACATAAATAGAATTAGAGATTGTTTTTCTTTTGAAATGTTTGAATGGGGAGACAAGTGTAACGACAAGTTGTGTGTCCAATGGCACTACACAACTGAGATTCAAGTTTCACCAGTTTGAGTATGAAAATGAAAGAGTCTTTACTTTTACAACAAAAATAACCCACCAGAATTGTTGTTTACTTGGTCACTTGTCTTAAGGTGGTTGAATGTGCATACAATAAGTGCAATGCCCAGAGTGCTGATAAAATGTACAGATTGTGTAATAAGTGTCAAAAAAGGGAGAAAGTAGTCTAAAAATACTGGCCCCTCGTGTAGACATCCTTTGAGTGCTATCTCTTCTTGAATGACGAAATTCACAGGATCTGAAAACTGATGATCCTAAAAAAACAACAATTTAGGTTAAAGTTTACGTATGACTATAAAAACGTGAATGAAAGTTGCCCCCAGAAAAGTTCTTTAACCGTGGACATCATTACTTACCACGAAGAATGCCTGCGTCTTCTACCAATTTTCAATAGAACTACAACAAAATGAAAATTAAACAATGAACAAAAACAGCTCAACGTTTTTTCTTAATGGACACACAGGTCAGTACACACAATGAATGTGGGAATATTTTCAAAATGTATTTCCTATATAATGGATTCAGATTCAACTGCTTCATAGAATTAAGGAAGTAACTGTTGTAAATCAGAGCTTATCTTGTTGATTTTACTCAAAAAGCATCTAAACATACCCCCCTCAATGTTTTTAATTTCATTTCTGTTCCTACTAAAGTTGTACTTTTAAACAAAATACTTTGAAAGAGTGACTTAGTGAGTACGCAGATGGCTACATAGCTGAATTCAATTTGATAAACATCACCGGTTAGCATGACTGTCTGCTTCGCAATCTGTTTTAGGTTCTGTTATGGAAGTCATCTCCAAACTGAAACGCGATTTTAATACTAGCTTCTACACTTTTGTAAAATGCAAATTATTCTGGTATAAGATAAAATAAAATACAATCTAATAAGATATATGGGAACTGGATTTTTAGAAGTCTAGAAATTGCCATTCACAGTTTGTGCAATTTAAATATTGAAAAAGTCCACTAATCTACAAGTGGTCAATGAGGTTGGAGAACCCTGGAAAAGAATGGTTAACATGCTCTGCATGAACATGCAGTGTGACAGCAGAGAGAAATTAAAGCAGACTAATGAGACAATGGGAATGGGTGATGAGGGGAGTGATAACTCCATCATTCTGTCTCAGGCTGAATTGAGACCAGGTATAAGACTCAGATAAAAAGTATAGTGGAGTAATCTACATTGCAGTTTAACATTGCTAACACACTTGTTTGTTTACGGTAACAGAAAAATTGCCTCAACACAAATACAAACATCATTATTGGAATAAATATAGCAACATAGCAGCTGTAGGTGTGAAAGTCAGTCTGTTGAGTTTTGTGAAATCTTGATGTATTCAATGACTACATTAGAAAACATGAAAAAACAATTTAAAGACAAAAACACAGAACATCAGAAATTACAAGGCAAATGTTAAATGTAAAGTTATTTTTTTAATTTTCAACTAAAATAATAGTCTCTTTTTCCTATATTACATTTCTCTTAAAAGAAAATGCTTTTAATTATGGAATTTTATTTAAGTAGATACTAATTTAATTAACATTATCTCAGCTTTTATTCGGGTCATCGTATTTACACATACTGTAGTACATTCTCCTATTAATAGCGCTGCAGAACCAGAAGTTGTATTAGAAATATTTAGAAATAAAAATCAACCTATATTAAATCTTTCAACATCTCAAGTGTTCGTTGCAAACTCTCACACAACGATGCGTGATGTGTCATGTGTCAAAACACTGAAAATTTAATTCCCTAGTTTGACCACATGAAAAGGTGAGAATGATTCCATGGGGACGTTGCAAACTAAAAGCCACTGATAAACCACGAAGAGTGACACGAGATGAGCCAAGTTGCTCAGCCTGCACTTTTTTTCCTGAATGAGGGTGGAGGCAGAAAAAGAATCCACAATGAAAGATGACAATACTGACAAAAAAAGATGAGAGACGCGGAAGAGGAGACGTTTTCTTATGTACCTTGCTCAACCCAGTAAAACCTGGGCTAGTCTCACCACTCTGCTTGCCTTGGAGGTGCAGAGGCCCGAGGGAATCTAGTCATAGTGTCATAGGAATGGACGCTATTAATGTGAAAACAAGTCCAGGCAACATTATTATTTTCATACGAGACTGAAACGCAAAATATATTGTGACAATTCTCAATCATGCTGTGATTCAGGGTGAAGTGCTTCAGTTAAATGCTTGGCCTTCTAGTCTTAATCAACTCCTATCAAGCTTTCCCATAGTTAGTGAGTGAAGGACAGATGCATGCCAAAGTATGTGCAGGTGTCACAAAAATGCAGGTTAAAATTTCTTCTTCTTTAGGTTAGGCATCCGTAATGAAAATTAAAGCTTACACAGCTGTAATGATTTGAGAAAGAAAGAAACCAGGTTTCATGCAAGAAAGGAAGGCGGAGAAGGATTGTACAAAGAGCTCTCGCCAGCTAAGGCTTCAATTAGATGCTTTTAAAACACGCAGGTGTAGCAGTCATCTGCATCTCAATTTTCGGACTCAAAAGCTCATTTCAGAAGGGCTGGTTTCCAGCATTTGGATAAAATAATGAGCTTGGCTGATAATTTGGGGAAGGATACTGCTCAGTTAACAAAGGTGGGTAAATACCAGGCCTTTTTACTTTGCACAGAACCATGCATTGAGCTTTTGTGAAATCTGTAACCATATATTATGGAAATTGAAGGTGGCTGAAGCCACCCAATGAAAGAATTTGAAATCAAGCTGTTTAATGAAGGTATCGCACAGGAGAAAGATTTGACTGCAGATGGTTGGTAAAGCCACAACTCAGAGCTGCACATGCAAGAAAAGCTACTGATTATCTGGGCAAAATGTGAGCTTTTCTTTTCTGGCTACAGTTCCAGAAAAGATGCTTCCAAATGTAAGCACTGAAAAAATCTAACATGGTATAGATAATCAGATGAGCTTGTTAGTAAGGGTTCACACACCATGCTGATCATGCCAGTGCACTGTAACATTACGGAATAACAACACTTCAAAAGACGTCAGTGTTATTAACACGACACCTGAGCACCAGATGTTCAGATTTCAGCCGTATTTCAGCATGCACTTACTCCCCACACCCTGTGATACTCTCCACCCTCTTTCAATAGCCCCCGGCTAGCTACTGTGTCCAAACGCATGCAATGAAATCTTTCCATGGCGGGGTTACCTGGTCATTATAGGGTTATGAATACCTTGCAAATGTTCATTATGATAACCATTATTACCAATTTCCATACTGTAACAAAACATTAAATATAAAAATGGAAACAAAAGTTACAAATGGAGCACAGGACGAGCTGTCACCAGCCACAATAAAGGACAGGGTAATAAAAGGAAAGCGTTCACTCATTTAAAAATAATGGCGAGGGATACAAATGTAATAATTGTACGAAAATGTGTATAAAATAGCCAAGTATAAATATTCGCATGTTATTGTACAAATGAACTTTAATTTACATAAACTATAATCAACGCTTTCTTATTAAGTGTTTAAATGACTAGTCTTTTGCTTCCAACAACAGCCAATTTGTCATGACCCATAATTACAGTACACAAAAAGCCACATTCTCCACCAAAAAGCTATTCAAAAGCTTAACGTTGAACCCAGCACCAAAAATGTTAACATGAAGTGCAAAATAATTTTTTAGATCTATATTTACAAAACCTCTAGAGCCCTGTAGTTTTCGTAGTGAAAAGAGCAAAAATAAAAGAAAATGGAAAGGAATCTTACGTTTTCATGGGTATAGTCTCAACACTACAAAGATACAAAGAAGCAAAATATTAACAATACGCTTCATTATAAGAGCCATACCAGAGAAAGCACAGTACGGGACTGTTAATATAATCAAGACTCTTTGTGCTGGAGCTCTGAATGACAGCTGTCGCATTATTTTTCTGATTAAAAGGGAGAGGAACAAAAATGCGAGGAAGAAAAGGTGGGAGGAATGGGAGCTTTGTTCTGACCAATTTGCCTTTTTTTTCTTAAAGTGCAAAGTGCGTACGTGGATGCAAAGAGTGGCGGAAAAAAAAAGATAAAGAACGGGGAAGAGATGGAACCAGTAGAAATGGTTATCACAAAGTAAAATGCCAAGTCCCTGAGACAGAGGAACTGTAAGGAAGAGAAGAAAAGACTGGTTACTACAAGGGAAAGCTACACAATGAGGAAACCCAAAAGGCACAAAGCAGGGAAAGGTGAAATAACTGCACTTCAGAGGTAACAATGCATGCACGCGATTATTAACAGGTCATGCAACAGGTGCACGAATGTTATTCTACACTATATGCCCTATTATTCATTTAGTTGAGAAATCCTCTGTAGATTGTAAACTCACCATATCCTTAATTGTATTATGGCAAAAAATATGGTTAAAATCTACTAAAGTGTAGATCATGGATTTTTGAAGTCTTCAAATTTAAATTAATCCATAATACTACACATAATACAATACTATCTAACTGTCATAACAACCACAAAGAACAGAAACCAAGCCTGCCTTAAAGTATGAAAGTATCTTTTCATTTTACATGCATAAGAGTATAAGGAAAGCAGCAAAAATCCAATTGACCAAGGGCATATTGGTACTGAAATGCACAAGTAAATTTGTGCTTAGAATATCAATATATTTCAGTATAAATTAGAAAAAATTGGTATAAAAAAAAAACAGAATACACAAGGTCCAACACAAAGAGTTATTTATAAAAAATAATTTCTCAAACTGTTTAATTTACATTTAAAATCCATACACAAGCCACACAATTAAAACATCTGTGTCACAATTATACCACTAACATGGTCGATAAGCACATTTCTGATATAATGTGAGAAAACAATAACAAAAACCCACAAGCTAGTCTACAATACTTACTCATCATACACGTCCTCCGTGTCCATTCTGCGATAGAATTTGGCTAGCTTCACAGCAATAATTATACTTGGAATTAAAAATATTGTACAGCAACCCAGGCCAAACCAGAATGCATTCTAAAAAATGAAAAAAAGATGAAAATGACTTACAGTAACATCAAAAATATTATTATTTTTATAACTGTCCCTAGAAGACAAGTTCAAAGAATGTGAAAGTTAGATTAAAAAGAGACGCATGAAGGATATTCCTGTCAGCATCTGAGCTGGAAGAGAATCAAGAGTCACTGGCCTTAGTTGGGCTGGCTTTATATATCTGCACAAATAAAAAGACTTCAAAGCTGTAGCACCCATCATATGTAAAGAGGAATATTTTCCAAGTGAATTTCAAATTTCTATCCCATAGTACTTTGCCACTGTGCTCTTGCTCTGACAAATATTATTTAAGAATTCAAACCTTTAAATCTGGTATATTTTGGGTGACTTGCTGCTTTTTAGATTTGTTTTACCAGAGAACTGTTTAACTTGGAGGAAAACATGGCCTGACTAAAAATGTAGTTGGAACTGAGAATACATTTTAAACAGGAATGTGTCTTCTCTTTAGCTTTTCCTTGACCGCCCAGTCTAAGACAGAGGCCACGCAAATCTTATGTAAGCTTATTCCAATCCCTCCTTCTTCCTACTCGTTTTTGATACCCCATGGTTTAAACAGCGCAGAGCATCTTTAATAATTAGTTTAACTACCTGTGAAATTCCAGTGCAACATGAATAAACAAAAAAACATCTGGCTGAAAACAGGAGGCTGTCAAAGGTCAGGGGCCCTTGCTCTGGGCTTCCTGGTAAAAGCTTTCACACACGTTAAACAATAAAATTCAGCTTCAGCAATACAGAACTGTTTTTGGCTTTTAGAGTTTACAGTATATCTCTGTCCAGAACTCCCTGTCACAGGTATAGCTGAGTGGGCAGTATGGGAACAAGTAAAGGTTTATTCCATGCTGAAACCAAAAGAAAAAAGACACAACATTTCGGCTGTGGAGCCTTCTTCAGGTGCGATTAAGTGGGCAGTATGTTGTATTAACCTGGCCACAGAAAATGGAAATCCTGCCCTGAACATTTACTGAAGATTTAATATGAACCACTCTGATATTTACTAGTGCGTTTTTAAATACTTTGTTTCTTACCAAGGAATCAACTATAAAGCCGCAAAATACGATCTCCACCGTGTCTATTACATTGCTAACAGGCTTGCACGCTGCAACTTCCATTTCCACCTGAAAAAACAACAAACAGAAGATACATAACTGTAACTTCACCACGCACAAAATGGACTGAAGCTCACTTGGAAGAAAACATATCAGAAGAGAATTACCAACAATTAGGATAGAGCGAATGGCACTCATTCTGAAAAAGTGCAATACTTACAGAAAACCTGACCCATTCTATGTATTGCTTGAAGTAGCCCACTATAGTCTCCATGTATTTCTCTGTTTCCTGCATTACGATGACAAAGTAGAAAACAAAGCTCAGCTAAAATTACAAAATATATTTAACAAAATTAAGAGCTATAGCCGATTCTACGGGCGTTACCTGGTTAACGACGAAGGAGGCGTTGTGTGTGATGAGGTACTGTGCTGCATCGATAGCACTAATCACATTGTTGACAGCATTCTAAAGAAAAAGAGGCAAGGGAGGAGTGTTGAGCCACACAAGCTCAAACATAAAAGTGTTTTCAATAATTTAAAGTTCAGTGCTTTGCAGACAAGTTACATTTTTAAAACTGTGTATAATCGGTGTCATATCTATCAGTTACTTCTTAAATCATTCTGGCAATGTGTTTCAAAATAAGATTGATCCATTACACAGGAAAAGGCTTTAACTCAGAAACGGTCTATTTTGCGAACAGTAAATCATCATAAGGCCCGAAAATGTGACTATCATGGGGAGTATATACTGTGGCTATCAAAAGTAATTTGACCACAGAATCTTCTTCTGCTTGGTTTCAGTCTCCCACGTGCCTTCTGGAAAACTATAGTTGAGGTTTGAGTTTTTTTCCAAGAATGGCATTCGTTTTGCCACTCTCCCATGAAGCCCAGATTAAGTGAAGCACCCAGGTCATTGTTGTCGTATGCACAGCTACACCCTTCTTAGCTGTGGAAGACCAATTCCTTCTGAGTTGTCACAGGCATCTTGGTGGTGTCCACCCTCCTCATCCGGATACTCAGTTTTCAAGGATATCTGAAAACTTGTGATATCTTCTCCATATATTTCTGGTTCTTTGGGGGATATTCAATGCCTTGAAAATGTTCTTTCACCCTTTCTTTGATTGATGCATTTCTATAACCCTAACCTGGATATACGTTTAATGCTCCTTTGTCTTCAAGATGTAGTTCCTTCTGGGACCAATATTTATTAAATGCGGATTTGCAGAAATAGATGTATTTATTATTTTGCAAATATGATGGGTGCAATGAAGGCGTTTCATGTGAAATATCTTAACTGCACACAGGTGGACTCCATTTGGACAATTGGTTACCCTGGAGCCTATTTAGGCTGTTAAGTCATAGGCTCCTTCTTGAAAGAAACCAGTGTATGAGCTACAGTACATCAACATGACTGAGTAGCTTGTTCCAAACTCCTGCAACACTTTAGTTGTGTAAAAGCATGTCTGCTGTTCTCAGTTATAATTGCACTTGTGTCCTCTGGTTCATTTCTGAAGGGGAACTGCAACGCTATTTTTATATTTCCTGGTTAGAAAGAATCGGAAATTGACGAACGCCATTTCAAACTACAATAAAAGTAAAATGTACACAGTAACTTGTAAAACCTCCAATTTACAAAATTTACAAAAATCACAAAACAGACAAAATTTCCAGGTATGCGCAGAGGCAACAAGACAACAAGACTCCCGGTGACGTACAGTATGCAACCCCATTACATTGTAAACAAGCAGACTTGTGAATACATCTCTTTTAATCCAATAAAAATATTGGTCTCGATTTTGCTTACAAATGCTACTTGTTAACTCTACATGCAGATTGTGGCGGAACATTTCTGCTGTGAAATGTCTACTGCACAATCTGTATTTATTTGCTTGTACATCGCATTACATTAGTGATTACAGTGACTTGTGAGCAGAAAGGGTCTGTTTCATGTCACAATTCGTGGGAACTTGAACACAATTTTGTGACAACATGGCGTTTGCAATTTTGTGCTTAAGATTTTTCTACACCATCAAAGAATTTATTTTGTTACCGAGATTTAATAAATGGTTTGAGAAATTGGGACTGCAGTTCCCCTTTAAACTGTTGGGTCTGAACAAGGGGCTGACTTTGTCAATGTCATTGAGGGTGCTCGATTAATTGCAGAAGGAAGTTGTTCCCTCTTTGTGAGGATGAGTTGATTCTGGATCAGTCACTTACTGGGAGAGCAGATGCAGTCCTCTGAAGCAGTCGGATGCTCTGATTCAAAGTGCTCTGTGAAAAATAAAAATGTGTTTCCAAAACCATAGCGTAAAACACACGAAAAATACCTTCCAGTTTCCTAAGGTGAGCGATGAATGTCAATAAACTGAAACCAGGAGTGATCAAGTGGGATTAAAATATCAGATGTTTAATTTTCAGTAACACAAAATAAATCAGAGTGGTACTAAGGCCATGTCAGACATACACTGCTGATGCTGAGGCACTGATTGCCCTTGAATTATCACGATCAAACACTTGCAGCGTCGCACACAAACAGTGAGGGACTGTCTGTTAGCTAGAGGTTCAGGTGTCTGTTCCCTAATCTAACGATTCACTGAGCTGAAAGATTCTGCATATTCAGTTAAAAAGTGAACGTGTATTCCACTGCACAAATCAAGAAAACAGTTAGTCTACTTCGTCTCAATCTATACACTGTGGTAATTTGGTCGCTAGTTTTTCAGGGATCATAACTTTTGAGATAAAGAGAAATATCAGTGATACATTCTTACCCGTGCTCTAACGTATTTCTTGGCAGCCATTTAAGACAACAGGAAAGATAAGGAAAGTTGAAAAGGAAAGATAAGACAGCTTCATATGTCCAGAAAACAAAAAAAGTACACATGAAAGAGCGAGGATGTTTCAGAAAAAGGTATTCCCACATTAACAGGGAATGCTGCCTACCTCCTACAGAGTTCAAAATAATTTAAAATTGTGTTATATACATACTGTATGTCTCACCTTTTCATCTAAATTATTACAGGGAAAACATGTTATTTACAACAATTACAACTCCAAGTTGTAATAAGTTGTCCATCATTTCTCCATTTAAAACAAATGGACTGGACTGTTCAGTCAGAGGTCATAATGTGTGAAACTGCAGTCACTTTATAATATAAAAATCCCTAAAAGTGTATTTTGTCAGCAATATGAGTGTTACCATCTCCTACTTTCCAATTACCTGGTTATTTTTGTAGTTGGCACTTTTAAAAAAAAATGTTTGCTCGTTGCTGCCTCTCTAGGGAATTAATTAGCACCTTGTCTGAAAAATAATGATTGGAAGCCCGATATGCAGCAATAAAAGAGTGAGGTTTAGGAAAGAGTATTGATTTTAAATGAACAGTAAGTATGTGGAATGCTTTCACTGCCAAGTGTATTTGAGGCTATGACCTTAATCCCAAAACAATCTGAACTGACCGATTACTGGGGCTGCTAGTAGATCTTGAGCAATTCAACCAGTTTGTGACTGCAGACAGAAATAATCCTGTCCTGAAACTGCTGTGTTATCAGACATTGCTTCAGAGGCAGTGTGGTTTACCATTGCCTGTTCCATTGGAACCACCTGCTGACCATGGATCAACCGAATGCTGCTTGCATGACCTTTCAAGGCATTCTCCAGAGCTCCCCGAGGCTGAAAGACAAATTACAAATGGGGAAAGCTAATACCAGGAAATCATATTTACCCTCACAACACCATTGTAAACAAAAGAAAGAAGAAACCACAGCATCTTCATCCTTATGGTCTGCAATACATGGCCTAGGTACAGGGTTTACAGTCTTTTCTGCTACATATTTTAAAAGCCTCATTTATCCCTAGCGTGTTGAAGGTCTCCTGTTTCTGCATTAGGAATTCTGTGGAATGAATAGGGAGCTTGTTCACCCACTCCGACTTGAATGACAGGCACTACCACTGCCGAGACCGCTGTGAATTTTTGTCATCTGAAAAAAAAAGTTACCGACTGCCTTGAAGGGGAAAAACTTGGTAATTAGGGTCGCCGAACACTGAACATGAGAGGAAATAACGAATTATAACGCTTATGTCACTAGGAATCAACTTACAAGCGTGTCCGCCTGTGCTTCCAAGTCATTCGCAAATGCCAATAAATCCACCTTTGTAACTCCTTTGTTGACCTGCGAAGAAGCAAACACACTCATAGGTGCCTGTGTGGGTTGCGTTAACGATTTTCAAGGCGATATATCTTTATGTCAGACTGCCCAAAATCATTTCTCTTTTCTAGGAGCATTGTTTTCTCTAAGGTGCACCTCTAGTGCAGGCCTCAGGGTAGCAGCAGGGCACTAGTCAAGTAATTACAGTGCGTAACTTGTGTTCAGCATATCAAGAAAAGGAATTGGTTTTAGCACAAGTTTAAGAACTAAATGATGCTGGGCTTTGAGGACATGGGACAGTAAGTGGATGTGATTTGTCAGACACGTCTACTTGATTCCTCAATGTACCAGTTCGCTCACTTTGTTCAGCTGACACATGGATCCTTACTGTGACTTCACACAGACCTCGTCTTGTGACCAGAAAGCTGGTCCTGACCATATTAAAACGCGGTGGATGTTTTTAAATCTCGCACGTTTTGGATGCCTATTGATTCTTAATGCCTCTTTCATTTAATTGCTCTGTTATATCTGGACTTATTGTATATTCTCTATACTGTGCTATTTATGCCTGATGTCTCAAACATGCTCCGTATTGAAAGCAAGTGATTGATGGACAAGTGAGATTAGTACTTACCTCGGCTAAATAAGCAGGATAGCTAATACTGGTGATGCCAGTCTTTGTAAAATTCAGGAGATTTTCCCTTCCTGTGGCTTCCAGAAGCACTATATCACTGAGATCCACATGGACATCACCAAACATGTCCACCACATCCTTGGTGTACTGAAAAACACACAGCTCAGATGCAGCATCTGTCTAATCCTAGTGCATTACTATTTATCTTTATAGGCACGTATTTCACATGCTTTACATATTACAGTGTGCAAATAATATTTTTTCATAAATCGACTAAAATAGTTTGAAAGAATTCAAATGACCCACACTGGGATACTGCATTCACTGTGTTTATTCATTGAATTAACATGACATGCCCCTTCATTCATGCATTAATGCTATATCAAGTTCACATACTATGTATTGCTATATGGAATGCGATTTCAAGTTGGGAAAGATTAATGTTAATACCTACCATACTAGTGTTTAAAAATGCACTGATGTTGAAGACATTGTCCAGCTGTAGAGCTGTGTAAATGCCTTTATTCTCTTTGCAGTTGCTAGTTTTGGGAGGGGGGAGAGAAAGGGTTAGGCATTAAAAAAACAATTACACAATTTACAGTTAAATGCATTGTTCAAGCTTCACTCGGACAAACAATGAGTGCTAGAGTCAGTGCCTGGACCTCAGCTTCTGAGGTCTGAGGTTAAGAGTAAATTCTTCTTATGCTCCCATCTAGTGGAACAAGGTGGAATTGCTCTCTAAATCTTAATACGTTCTTCACCTTTTGCACCACATAATTCAAAGCCGCTTTACCTGTAGTGTATATCCTGTCACACAAGTCTTTCACAGCACATTACAGCATCCTGATGTATATTACAACTACACTGCTACATCTGACCCCCAGGTCACACAAAAGAAAACCATTTGGAAACGAGCAATGGGCATTGCACCCTGAAAATATTCACAAAGACGGAAATAACTGGAAGGTTTTGTAATGGGGAAAGTAGCTGCACGGAACATAAAAGTTCTAGAAAAAAATGGTAAGAAATCTACTTTCACTCCTTCACACTTGCGTCTGTGATTTCTATACAGGTTTTCAGCATGATTATGACTTCCCCATGAACCGAGAAACACGGCTTCATTTTGTGACATTATCTGAGAAAGTTATCAGCACACAGATGGGTTATATCTGCTCATACTCATACTGAAATCTTCTGCTTATGTGGATATAATTGTAATGTATTATTATATTATGACCTGGTACTTCAGAAAAGGGTTCTCTCTGTGTGAAACACCTGGGAATATCAGGCACGTGTTGGCAGTGTTCCTAAAATATTTAATTAAAGTGTAATGATATAAAATCATTAAATGCAGAGAAAATGCCATTTTGTGTTGCAGGATGAATGGATGTATAGAGGATGTAATTCACGCCATCTACTATTTTTGGCTTTATCCAGGAATCTAAAAATGACTGGAGCAGCTGTCACTGTATCTCTGCAGCACATTTTACCTGTAAACCTTCTCCACTGTCAGATCTATTTCAGGGTTCTGATACAGAAAACCAGGGATGAAATGCTTCCAGGAAGGATTGACCAAATAAGGACTATCCACAACCTGCCAAAATGGAAAAAAAAAACATGGTCAGTAGTTATGGAGTGGACTAAATGCATCTAATAGTAGTTAACTCGTATGAAGATTTCTGTCCTTCTATAATAAATATGAGATTTGTATATTACAATGCGCATTCATTTCCCCTTCTTCCATGTTTTAATTTGATATGCTACACGCCTATAAAAAGTCAATGCAGTTTTTACTTTGCTTACCAGAAACCACTTAAAAAGTGTTATTTCAAGTAATATGATATATCCATTCCTGTTGGAAGTGCTACAGTACGTTGTTGTTAAATATCACCTTTTAGTTTGATTTGCTATGATAGTGGAGAGAAAAAACGCTGCTGACCGATTCCTCACACTGTGTTCATATGGCTTTGGAGACGCAGATTAGTTCAAGCTGCGTGTGTGAGGTCCTCTTCTCAATAAGTTCTTAAACGAGATTTCTGCAGTCACACAACATAATGCAGGTGTTTGGTTGTTACCCCAAAAATGTTACAAGCACAGGCCACAGGAAGTGCAGAGCTCAGGGTCCATGCCAAGCAGCAGATAGCACTGGGTCAAAAAACAAGCTACAGAGCTATGCTGTTTTTATAGTCAATGATTTCTTATTATTTCTTTGAAACTGAAATAACGAGAGGGCATGACAGTGTGGCAGTTAGCACTGCGGGACTCAGCTCTTGTGGTAAGGGGAGTTTCTGATAATGGCATTAAAATGCCATTAAAAATCTCCAAACATTGGACTTGGTGTAAAAATGAGAAGACACCTTTTTTTGTGTGTTTGCGCATAAAGAATGAATTCCAGGACAACACACAAATTATACGAACAAATGAGAGAAATTTATTTTGTGGACTGTTTGGTAATTTGTACTTAATTGATTGAATGATTTCACCCTACTCTCTTGTTTCCTGCATTTACTGAATATTCACCAGTCAGAGAAACAGTATACATGCATCCTTCTGAAGAGCATGCAGGCTTGTGTCATGGTTGAGAAGTTTCATGTGCCACTATGCCTGTGTGTATGGTCAGGAATTTGTATGATTAGTGCTTACTGGTTAAGAGGAGCCCCAGAGACAGAGGTTCAAAGCTGTTGTAAAGCATCCTTAAAGTATATTTACAATATATCATTGAAATGGTGACTCTGACAGGAATCAGAAACTAGTACGCTGGCTCCTCATATCTTTCCAAAGCGTTGTGAATAGAGTCAAACTGTTGTGTACCAGATTAGCTACAGTAACTGCACTAAATATATTTTTTTCTGAAATTGTCTTATTGAATTATGATGATGCAGAGGAAGTGAATTTAAGTCTTAATACATGCAGGCTTAGGACTAATGGTAATGGTACCAAAATATGATACACACACGGGGATCACAGTGCCTGTTTTTATCTCCTAAAACTATACTAAAGAATTTCATAAATTAAAAAAAATACATTATAAAAGTTTCCCATATTTTGAGCATGCATTTACAAAAAAATAAAACCAATAAAAAACTTAAAAATGTGATTGCTCTAATAGGGTTCAAGGTGCCACAAATGCATTTAAAAATACCTGTTCAAATGAACATTTCTTTTGTGCATTTGTAAAGCACAGCAATTTTTCTAAGTGAATGAATGGTTTCTGCAAATTCACAGCAAATGCCATTTGATCCTTTGAACTGTAAAACAAGCTTGGGAGAACTGCGCCAACTCTTTTGACTTGCCTTAAATAATTCTCTGTTCTCAAAAGGCTCACAGATCAGTTTCTCCAGATTGCCCCCAATAACAAAGGTGATCACCACCACGATCATCAGCACCCAGGAGAAGATGAAACTGAACCCAACACCACTGCAAGAAAAATAAGGTACAGGTTTCACAACTGATTACAAAAATGCACTTTCAGTACTGAAAGATCTCTTTCTTTTTCCCATTCATAAACCCTCATTAATGTCTAGTATTACTGCTAATATCATTTAATTAAAGCTATGTATTTAATCACTGCAGTCCTGGCAAACTAACAGAGCTTGCAACAGAGAATGTAAAGAGCTGTTTGTTAGCAGCATGCACATATTAAGGATCTAAAGGTGGTCTATATAAACAGCAGGAATACATCTGAAAACAATCTAAACGAAGGCACACATAATTAACATCAGATACAATATACAACAGGCCACTTATTCTGCTACTTCCAAATAAACTGGTCACTCGCAAGCAAGCAAGCAAAATTTTCAAAGGCAAAATAAGTGAGAAACAAATGCTTTTTGTAGCCATAAGGTGGAACAGTGTAGAAATAACCCTTTTCCTTTAAACAATCAAAAAATCATTTTCATTTTTGGAACAAATATTAATAAATCCATTCTTCCCGATACGCTTGATTTCTGAATAGAATTCCTGCTTTCAACATTTTCAACATTGGATCTGAAGAGATTCCTCAAAGTTGTGAACTGAAGGCTCTGAAGCACATTTTTAAAAGCACTGCAAAACGCTTATTTTTATCTCCGAACATGTGGCTCAGGAAACCCCTGTAGTTGAACCCGCACACCCAGTGGGCACTGCATGAAGTAATTCTACCCAGAAATGAAAGTTCCCATCACATACACGTGAAACTGCGCGCTCAAGCACCCCAAATACAGGGATCACAGAAATTAAAAACAAACTGTTTTAAAGCAGCGAAGGGGTACTGCGGGACTTCTCGGCTAGTTGGGTTTTCTTGCCTTTGGAGAGAATTGCTAGCTGTTATCCAGAGCTGAACCGAGGGGTTACTCACGCCATGAGCAGGTTGCCCCCAGTGTTGGACACGCAGCCCCTGGTCGTGGGGGATGCCTGCTTGTCATGCCCACAGGAGCCGCACAGCAGGCCCAGGAAGTTGAAGGTGAGGATCAGAGCCACCATGCAACACGCCGCCACACAGCCCAGCCACCTGCAGCATGGAGCGAAGAAGGGAAACAGTTCAACAGCGTGCAGACTCCTTCAGCGATCTCGGAAATTAAGGAACCGCTAAGGGGCACTATGTTCAAAAAGAACATAAGAAAAATTACAAAATGGGTTTTGGCCCATCAGGCCCATTTAGCTCAAAAGGTTCATATCCCCAAGCTGAGAACCAAGCAAAGTCCTTAAAAGGCACGTTTCCCGTGGCAGATTTGAAAACCCTGGAAAAGCTGAAGTCTCTCGAGCCAATGCTGTTCATACCTGTAAAAGTCATACTGGTCAATCTGGGGATAGTAGTTCTCGATCATTGCCTGGCTCTGGCTGATGTACAGGGTGAAGTTGACTAGGGTGCTCTGGATAGGGAACTGCTTGGAGAAGCTGGAGATATTGGATCCTATGCTATCCAGCATGCCCTTGACACCTGCAAAGAGAAAGCACTGGTCTTGACCGGCTGCCAGATGAGAACTATCAATAATAGATACCACAGAGTGGAAGACTAGTGGGATTCATGGGGTTAGCTGTCAGAAGGATGGAAATACCACACTAGCAGGGATTAAACCAGCTTCACTGAATGACATTGCAGAATAGAGCAATACAACAGTACTGCTGTCAGAAGTACTGTAGTGAGAAATGTGGGACATGTAAATGACAGAAGAATATTGAAGAACTTCTATAATGTCCTAGCATGCAGTGAATGAACTTTGATCTAAGGGAGAACAAACTAATAATGCTTAAATTATGGATCTACTACAATCAGGATATATGCGTGTGTAATGTAAACACACATATAACAGATGTAGTTAAAAAAACATAAAACAATACATTTTACTTGACTATGCCTAAGTACCATATTTTGCACACAAAGTACTTAAGACATTCCTAGTATTCTACAGAATATACCAGTCACTTTGTGTTTGATGTCAGTGGAAGGGTGCAATGAAAGATGACAAAACACCAGGACTGCATAATCACATGCTAACGCACAACACCATCACAGCTCCGTTAACATATGCGAAGAAACTTACGAGGCAGGGCTGTGATTTTTTACAAGGTCCCACAAATACAGAATACAAAAAACAAAAACACAAAATACAGTTAAATAAAACAGTTACTCAAAAGTTAACAAACCAGGTTTTTAAACTCAAACACAAACCACCGTTTTATCCTTAAAAGATTTGCACTTAATGACAGGAAAGACTTCACATTGTCTGTTACAAAACATGAGTCTCTTTGGTTTGAGTTGCACAAAGGACAATATAATTGGAGAAAAAAAGTGTAGAGTTTGGATTTTGCTTCCCTAAAATCACTAAATATATTACATTATGCATGTTTAATAATTACTGTCATGTAATACTTTTGGCTCTTATTGAAAGCAACAAACGTTAGTAACCACTTATAAAACTGGGCATTTTACAAGATCGTTTTTATTCAAGGGTAAAAGAGCATTAAGGATTTGAATCCACAACCTACAAAAACACTTCTCCACACTGTCTAAAATATCTTAACCACCAACATTTATTTCCAGGTTACATCTTTTTGTGTTATTTGTTTTCCAAAGATGATTGGGTGAAATATTAAATGATTGTTTCAACAACAAAATAATTCGCTAAACCATTGTTAAGAGTGTCCCAGATCTCCAATTACTGGATTTGCACTAATCCTGTGAGGTTAATATTCAAAGTCAAGGTGAAGTTCTCTACTTTCTGAGGTTATTACATATAACATACTGTATGATCTCAATCACAGTCTTCCAACTTATTTTTGCAGAATATGCTTGTGCCTGCACGTCTTTATATCAGAAATAAGAAATGTACTCTTAAAAGTCAGTGCTAGTGATCACTGGCCATGACAAAGCAACAATGATACAACTAATAATAATGGTACAACTTTGAAGTCAAAGGACTGGGCCTGAGGAATTTAGGCTAAGATACAGGAACACATGTTTTGTTTCTCAGTATCCAGCAGAAAGCAGGGAGTAAGCAGCATATAAATCTAAGAATAATTTGATGGAATGTCAAACTGAAGAGGAATTTGCTATTTGGAACAGGCGAGGTGTTTTGTGGCTGAATACAATTGAAACCAGATGTCTTGCTTTAGAAGGAGCTGAAGAAATCTTAAGGTGTTACATAATTACAACTTGCGTTCTGTGCTGAAAGCCCCCGATAAAAACAAGAACATACAAATTGACATTTCACTTACCTGAAACAACATTCTTTGTCTGGTTCTTCACCATGCCTGGAGTGTCATTAAATGTTGAATAGCCCTGTCAGGGGATACAAGAACAAGTAAATATCAAACGCATATACGAAAGGTATAATTACACTTGCATAATACAAAGATGTAAACCATCATTCCATCTTGTTTTTCAGCCCTGAAAGGAAAAGCTGCAAGTCTTAAATTGGACATCTACTGGTGTGCTGTATCAAAAGGGTTGTAAACAGTTTTATGTCAAAACAGTTTAGTGGTAAAAAAAGTTTAAGAAACAGTTTATAAAAAGTCCTACTGGAAATATTCTAGATTTTGCCACATCAACACATCATGGGTGTGGAACAGGTGAAAAGGTAAAAGCAAAACAAAGATGGTTAAGTTAATTTATAAGAATACACAGATCAGCTTTACAAAAAGTTATACGTACTGTATGTATAAAAAATCATGCAAAACACAAAGAAATCAAGATGTGTGGACAAAACAGTCCACAAATTAGAGTCAGAAGGCTATTATAGGATATTAACATATAAGGATATTAACATATAATCAATATAATACTCTATAGAAGAAAACTATTCAGCAAAAATCTGTACAATTCAATGCAAGTTAACATTACAGCCAGGGAGCTCTCTACCATATTGTGCAAAAAACAATCAGATCTGTACATATTCACTTGCAAGGAATTTTCCTTTTCCTGTGAAAAGATATCAAAGAGTAAACAGTGAAATTGTGAGTGTAGAGTGGGGTACAAACTCAATTGAGGATGCCCAATGGATAATTGAGAAGTGAAGGACCTAGAATTGAATTTGCATAAAGAGAATGAAGAGCTGGAAGATTACAAAGCTCCAGTGCTGACAATATTATTTTCTTTTCAACTGCCTCCTTGCAGTTTTTAAACACCCCAATCCTACTGTGAAGTGGAATGCTTTCTGGAATATGGAAAAGAAAAATGCTCAGACTTTCTATCCTATCATTGGAATTTATTTAAATGAACAAAACAGGAAATAAAACAGGGGTGAAGGCTCAAGTAAGATATTAGTCAAGGTTGTGATTCATTTATTCTTTTACCAGTGAAAGAATGCTCACCTTTTGAACGATGTTGCTGAGGTCAGTCTTGAGAACGTTATTCACATTTACTAGCTGTGTATTCACATCAGGGAGCTGAAAAATATGCATAATTCTATTTAAAAGATTGCAAAATTAATGTTAAATATAGATATTAAATGAATCACAAAGGAAATTTACACAAGCCCAAGAAAACTAGGGTTTTTTGTTGATTTGTAATTAACAGTATTATTTCTGTCTTTGCAGAGGGCTTCTAAGCCTGTAAACAGGACCTGATCCTGATTCAAGGACGGGACAGGAAGCAAAGGCGGTACAGTACTGTGTAATGACAGTCACACATCGGGGGCTCCACAAGCTCGTACCCCGGAGAAGTTGGCGTTGATGGTGAGCTGTCCCAGGGTGCCCCTGATGGCTCGGCAGGTGTCAGAGACGCCGGGGGCGGAGCAGGCGGGGTCGTTGAGGGTGTTGCTCAGGCTGGATCTCTCGTGGCTCAGGTTCAGCTGCAGCTTTTGGGTGCCGTCCTGCAGGATCTCCAGCGAGACGCTGACGTTCTCCAGCGCCTCCTTGGTCTCCCTCATCGCTGCGCACAGCGGGACAGGCAAAGGGCGTTAGACTCCACACCTCAACCGCAAGCTCGCGACAGTCAGGGGCCATGCTGTCAAAACCCACCACATCTCTGCCATCGCGAACAGCCGTCTCTAGACGAGAGACACTGGCGATTCCATATGCAAAGGGCCTTAATTACTAGCACTCATTTATGGGCATAACTATGGTTGTGTCTTTTATTACACCACAGCAACACAAAAACATCTGTCAAAGGAAAAAATCCTGGAACAGATAATTTTGTGTCTATCGTTTTGGTTGAAAAACAACGTAACAATCAATTAGGGATCAATCGGTACCAGATGTGCATATTTGAGGATGTTGGCAAGCATCAGGATTCATCACCATCTGCCCCTCTCCGAATACCAAACACATTGCATACTGTACACTGTGAATCAGTCCATTTTACAGCAGCACGCCATTAAAGCAACAGCAAAAGGGGAATAAATGTGCATATTCTGTGCCCGTGTGTATGAACTAAAAACATTTAGGCTAATTCAAGACTTATTTTTGTCATTTCTATTTTAACTTCTTCAATTTCTCTTAGATTCAGAAGATTTCGTTGCTGGAGAATATCAGTAAGACGTTGTTTTGTCAACAGACTTATGAAAGGTAAGGGAAATGTGTGTTTTTTCAAATCAGATAAGTAATACTGATGTTTTTGCTCTTTATACGTGCAGTTTTCAACTGTTCAGAAGTAAGCAAATACCTCAAACAAATAAATTCAGGAGTCAAAATTTAGAAGTTAGGATTCTAGCCTTTGAGGTTGCAATAGTGTACAACAAAATTATGTACAACTAACAATCACAGACTTGACATGCTACATAGAGAAACTTGCTAGTAAGTTTCAGGATTGTCTAAATAAGAAACACATGTACATGTTGAATGGAACAGATCACCATTTAAAATCCTGAACTGCTGTGTACACTTAAAACTTAAAATGACAATAAAGACTATAAAGCTTATATATATATATTTTACCTCTTATCTATAATTCATATGGTGGGTTTTGACCAGCCCAGTGGGAAATAGGAATCAATAGAAACTGTCTACTTTTTGTTATTTGGTACTGGTCACGCACTGAAGAACTGAAACAAGACGACACCACATTAAAAATGACACAAAAGTAGGTTCACAGTTCACAGCACTTGTCGGGTTCCAGTAACTGTTACCTTTGATAGCCCTTTCCACTTTGACTTCAAGCCAAAAGGAAAAGAAAAAAATTGAAGAAATGATGGAAAAACTAAGAAAATGAAAAAGAAAAGAATATGAAGTGGGATAGTGCTTTACATTTTAACGAGTGTGCGTGAAGGCAACAGTAAAAATCCATAGTGACTCCAATTACACTTGCAAAATATAAAAATCTGTGTACTCAAGGAAACTAAGAAGTACGAATTATTTTAATACGTTTTTAACAAGTTTAATGTTTACACTGATGATCTAGAGATCCATTTATAGAGAAAGGCACTTACTAGATCAATGAGAGTGAAGTACCTTGCTCAAAAGTATGACAGTAATATCCCACCTGGGTTTTGATCCCACAGTACTTTAGAGGTTGACCAGAGTCTTAACCAAAACTCTCTGTTACTGCCTAGTACTGTATACCTGCACACAACCTAGAGGGAGATGCCAGATATCTATCAGCGAGTCTGGGCAGAGCTCAAGATGCCCAAAGGATTTGAGCGAAAGGGACAGATAGACAGAATAATTTCTCTTTGGCTCTGGGCGATTTGAGATATCTTTGTAAGACAAACCGACAGATTCTACCTTTAGAAAATGATTATTAAACAAATACAGGCTTAAGAAAACCTAATGCTGAAATAAAAATCAAACCACGTCTGACAACTTTTCAGGCAAGTCAGAAAGAAGGATCTGATGCACAGCTGTGGTATTACAGTCCTTGCATTTGCACAGTCCTATAGTGAGACTTGGGTGTATTAAAAGAGTATCAAAATGGAGAATTACGTTCAATTATAACAGCAGGAAAATGAGGAAAAGGAACGTGTTACACCTTTTGTTATCTGATCCATTATGATAGATAAGAATATGACAGGAAGATGGGAGAACTTGGCACCAGGAGGCACAGCAAGATGGTGGTATGAATAAGAAAGGTTGTTCCAGTAAAGGACCAAATAAGCCAAGACAAAGTTATTTTTGACTTCAGCATGGGAAAGGAAATGTTAGAAAAGCTCCAGACTGACAGATGGAAACCATACTGCCTTCTGTTTGCTGATCCTCTGAGGCAGTTTGGCAATTCTACTTGTTAGTGGGAATTGAGAACTTTATTCAAGTTTGCATAACAGGTAACATAAAAAGATGTTTAAAGAAAATAACATGGATCTGCTTATTGAATTCTTTCAACAGCACATTCTGATGTCAAAGATAAAAAAATGATTTTTCAATACACTTTTTAAAAGGAACTGCAAAATACAAATACAAACCATTAAGATGGACAGATACTATAAAGTATTTCTGAAATCTAATTATTCATTTACAGGAATTCAAGGGCCTACTAACTCCAAATATATAAAGGAGACCAACTGAGCTCACTTCAAAAACCAATCAATCAAGGAATGATCAAATCACTCTCAAATTCTAAAGTATGGTTTGTTTTAACTTAAAGGTATTTTAAGATTAGACCTGTTAGGTTGTTCCACATGCCAATTTCCTTTGCAACAAAAACGACAGCCAAATCCCTGAAAAGTCAGTTTGATTGCAAAGCAAAATAAAACAGCTATCAAATTTTAAGATAAAAGTCGTTTCAACATGTCATGTGAAATGAGAGCACCACACAATTCACAAATTCCACGAAGAATCAAGTTTCAGAATGAACTAGTGGACTAGTAATATGTAATATGAATATCTTACCTCCAGCCATACTTAATGCCCCGTCCAGCGCAGGACGTACTTCCTTTCCCAGCTGCTGGTGGATGCTGTTGCCGAGTAACAGGCCTATATCTGAAGAGGATGAGGAGAAAATTCAAATTGCAAATTATGCAAAAAAATTGCAAATTAACAGAAAAATGTAAAGAGCAAGGTTTTAAAGGATTATTAAGGGACTGTTAGCTGTTGCCGATTAGCGAAGAAGTGAGAGCAGTGATTTTTCAAGATCTCTTTCTGCATTGGTAGCTCTCTTTATTAGCTCCAAAAAGTGAAGCAAAAAATGCAAATACCCCTGTCTTTTTTATTTTATAACTCCATAGGCCTGTTTAAACCTTTATAAACAGCATGCGAACTGGAGCAAGACAACTGCAGTCTCCTGTAAACTATTTAAATTCAAGTGTTTGTAGAACATGATTTTTGGCTAGTCTTTTAAGAATAACACTGCCTCCTTTAAAATAAAAAAAATAAAAAAATCATATCTAATGTAAAATGTACTGGAATAAAAAAGATATATTTTATGTTTTTACTTCATATATTTTACTAAGTCAAGGTTAAATTAACATTTTCACCTTGTCCTTCATGGTAAATATCAAAAGGTCAATGAGCTTATAATGTAAAATTATTTTTTTAAAAAACATTTATTCTAAACATGTTTGTGCATAAATGATCACTCTTTTGTACAAAAGGAGAATTTCTATTATTCACCTGCCAAGCACAATTCAAAGTTTAGTACCAATCTGTACAAAACCACCAGCTGCCACTACCAAATGGAAAGAATTAGCTTAGAGGCCTCTGGAAAAAGCCACATACATGACATATATAAAACACTTCATGAACAGCAAAGATAAAAATATATTCTAAAGACAAATGAAAACACATCATACTCTACAATATCTTGGTTTAATTTTGGTTACTCCATGCAGGAGGACTCAGTAACAATCCAGTAGTCATTTACTGCCAAAAATGCCTGAAGACACAATCCAGAAACAGGAACATGAACATTTGTCAAGAAATTATGTCACGCAAGAGGTCTCTATTATTAGATACGCAAGAGGTCTACTTACTATCTAGGTCAGAAAGGACTTTGTTCTTGGCAGTATTATATTGTGCAGAAAGGTACTCAATTTGCTGAAATATAAACAAATTGATGTTAAAACAGAGACAAACACTACCCTTTAATACATTTTTAATCTTATTTCAATGAACGTTAAGGAAAATATAGCAGAGGATAACTGGGTTTGTTTGTTAAGATCACTGGATTGAAATGTTAGGTTCCTTTATTGACTTAGTAGAAATAAAGTTGCTTACTAAGGGGCACTCCACTCTGAACAGACAGTGGCTTCAGACCTTAAAATCGTGGGAAATAAGAATCTAATGTTGTCAATAAATTAGATGAACTGTGTATGCTTCAGAGGGACATTTAAATGTGCTTAATATCCACATAACCAAGGGCTTTGGTAATTATTTTGATCATTTCTGTGTTTGGTGGAGGAGAACACCCACTGGTAATGTCTGGTCTAGGGTAATGTACTTAATGCACACTTTTCTGCACAAAATGACAAAATAGAACAGAATGAAAAAGAAGTCATATATTAATAAAAGCACTGCAACTTGAGAGAATGGTTAGGGATACATGGGGTTAAGTTCTATTAGGCTGAAGAGCTTAAGGTCATCTGCCAATGAGGCTCCTCAGGTGAGTACTTATCTATCTATAGCTCTCTTGCTGACATGGAAATAATCCCCGCATTTTTTAAACCATATGTGAGGAAATAATGATAATAAAAAAAGTGAAACCCAGAGGAAATAAAAAGCTATATTTCAATTAAAAAATAAAAATTGTTTTACTGAAACCACATTAATTGATAAACTGTTACAGGCAGGCATCTACTAAATGATACCTTTAATAAACCATGAACAAATGAAACCAACACTGTACTAAATATGTTCACTAAACAGTAATTTTAAAGTTTTATTACAAAATGTACAAAAACTAAGCATACAACAGTGCACAGCTGTAAGGCCTTACCGCTGGAGTCTCATTGACAAACATTTTCAGATCTTTGAAGTTACTGTTGACAAGTCTCCTAACACCCCTTAGCTGAGTGCTGAGGTTCTGATTGGCAGCGTATGCACACAAAACGCCCACTCTGGGGAAAAAAAGCAAACATTTTCATTTTCAGGAATTACAAGAATTGAACATCAGCATTGTTTGTTCTACGATTAAAAATGCGTGCGTTAAAATGTTTTGAGAAAGATCAGGGAATTTCTTTTTTGGATATCGGCAGAACACAATCATTTGGTAAAAAAGATTGTCTCTTAATATGTCTAACTGTAGCATACAAATACAACCCAAAACCCTAAAATAATACAGAAACCTTGATAACCAGTGGTTAGTTGTCTCCTCTGTGGTACATGTAAGCCTTTTTTGAACCGACCCTTATCAATAACCTGCAAGAAATACTGAAAAAATTCATCCTGTTGGTTTATACTTGCAAAAAACACTGCAACGCCAACTGCATGGACTGAAGTCTTCCTTTACAAAACAGATTTGTTTTCAATAAAACTTGTAAGTGACAAGAGCTTGTAAGTGACTGTGACAATGGTCTTGAAGTCCTTTATCCAGTGTCTTTAAAAAAACATTAGGATGAGCTTCTTGGGATTCTTGGGATTAGTTAGCGATTAGCACCTAAATGGGCCAAACAGCAACCTCTCACTTACAATATTTTTGTTTTATACAGCAATGCATCAAAATACATTTTAAAACATGATGGTGATGTTATTCTTTCAGGTATTATGTAGCTCTTTGAATACTGTTACATTAACCGGCCAGCAGATGTCACTGTACTTCTTATTTAAAATGCAAACCAGAAAAGAGATAATCAACAAATACCTAAAAGTAAAAACACTGAAACAAGAGGTATATCAGAATGCCTGGCAAATACAGGGAAATACTTAGTTTATTTTCTTATGAGGACACTCAAAACACTCAAAAGCTAAAAATATTTAATGTTTTCCAAAATACAGGACATAAATAGATTGACCGAGAAATGAGATTGCCGAAATGCTGATATTCTACAATCAAAGTATGAAACAAAATCACCTTTCTGATTCATTAAACGCCTCGAAAAAGCTAATTAGAGTCATAAGCTCCTTAATCCTTGATCACCACAGTTAAGCGAAGATTTTAAAATAAGTTAAATTATGAAAAAGGCTATCTTCCGGAGAATGCTCATCCCCTCTATGGTGCTCTGAATCCAAGCAGTTTTTCAAGAAGGTTTAATAGTCTGATGACAGCCCTGGCCACTCTCTGCTGCTGCCATGAATGGGTGAGGTTAGATGTGATCATGGCATATGCATTACAACCTACAAAATATTTCCACACGTGGCACAATGGTTATTTTTGCCTTTCAGTTATTCCTGAAATGTCACGTGCAACATATGTCTGTCTCTCTGCAAAGATCCATTTTAGAATGAACTTAAGGTTCTACACTACAGCAAGGGACAAGTTCTCTCAAAACTGTGTGTACACAGACCACCCGGAGGCAAGTTATTCATAGTATAAGGAATCACAGTGTTGCAACCCAACCTGTCTCCTGTATACTGAAAGAACCTGCATATAAGATGAGCATCACAAATTCCTTTAAGCTAAAATGTATTAGTGATCCAGTACATTTGACTAAAGTGCTTTGATTGTTCAATGGTACTTTAAGAGAATGTGAGAAGAAAACACCCCTGTGCTAAGGGCTAAATGTCTCTCACATAGTGCACTACCTGACAGTATTATGCCAATGATAGCCATGCTGTACACCAGTGTTTTGGGATACAGATGTAGCTTTTCTTTGCTCTTTTTGAAGTCGGAATTATTCATTCTCACACTTCAGCTTCTGAAGGTCCTGCTTTTGTGGGCATGTGTGCTGACTCAGTAACTGCAGTGGTGGTGAATATGTTACAGAAATTCCCCATCTAATGATGCCACAGGTCTACCGAGCAACAAGAGACAAAGAATTCCACTAGACACTCAAATCCTTTGTTAAGCAAACATGCCAAAGCCAATGGACTGGGAAATCAAAGTAAAGAAGAGGAAAACAGAGGCCTGTCCTTTATCCAGCTGTAAAACTGCACACAAAAACACAAAATTATTGCTTAATGATGAAAATAATTCAACTTCATTTGTTATCACTGAGCTGGTTATCTAATTTCTACAGGTCCCACTTCCTTCTTTACGAAATTAGAAGTGGTTCTAAAATCATAGGTCAGAATTACAAATGAAATCCGTCAGCTTGCGAGTGCTTCAAATTGCTTTGCTGTTGATTAAACCGTTAACATTTACTTTTCAAATTTGCCTGCCAGCCAGTGTTTAATATTGCTGCATACAAAGGCTTGTCAAGTCAGGTGCAAAGCTTCAACATAGCAGAAGAAGTAGTGTTTTATATTTGCATATGAAACGAAAATTAACTAGTATTAACAATACCAAAGCGCCAACGCAACGAGTAAATTCAACACGGAGATGGAAGTAAAAAACATTTCAGCTGTAAAGCCTTCCTCAGATGGGCATACAAGGTGATGATAAATTTTATGTTGCACATTTCATGCACAGCTTCCTTCAAAAGGCATTTTACAACACTGAAATGGATTAAGCTATGGGACTGTACTTGTTGTACTACTGTGACTACATGTAATGTGGCTTTGATTTATTTAACGTATCCGGCAAACTGTATACATTTTTTACAGTGGCAGCACATACATTTTCATAAATTAATGGGGTCATTTGCTTGTAAAATGTGAAGCTAGAACATTTCACATTTACAGGCCTATAAAGTGATGGCTTAATAGTGTAAATTAGAAACTACTGATACAGAACTTACCTTGAGAAACAACACAGTGAATAACTTGCCTGTCTAGCATGTGTGCTTGTTACAAAAACGATTAATGGTATCTTCAGGGAAATTGCTTTTGTGCCGATTCCACTGCTAGCGCTCAGTGGAACAGAAGGCTGAAGTTTCTTCAGCTGTTGACTGACAAGTATGCTGATACGTAGCACGTCCTTGCTGAAGAGAAAAAGGGGAACTGTACCACAGAAGCCATCCACAACGCAGTGTCACAAAGGGCCTTTTGTAGTCTCTCTTTATTCAGATTTATATCTGGAAGCCTGCTGTCCGCACAGAGGAACAGGGTCAGCAACACCGTCTCAAGTGAACAAAGGTGCTTTGAAGCCTAGAGCAGTCACAAAGAACAGTCCATTCACCCAGCTCTTTTCCCATCTCTTTCCAAGAACTTTCAATAGCGCCTAATAGAAGAACAAATAGCGGCAAATACAAAAGTAGATAAAGGCCATATTGGGTGCCTTGTCTAAATGTTTGGTGAAACTGGACAGCTTGGAGAAGGAATTTTCTACCCTCTACAATAACGCTGCCATAATGAGACTAGGGTGAGGAGCCCTGTCAGCATGAGAGAGTAGCAAAGGAACAAAGTTAATTTCACATTTAACACTAAAAAAAAGAGAAGAAACTTTCACCCCTGGAGCTGGCTTCTCCAGATTCCTACTCTGGAAGAAACTAAAATTGTCCTTGAAAAAGGTTCACACCTACAGTACCATCTAGCCGTCCTTGATTAACTTCATTTATTTTCACATTTCCCTGGAATTAATTCTCCAGAGTTACATCTCTTTAGCCCCCCTCTCCCTCATTCTACGTTTTGTGCTCCTTATCCCTGCTCCCAAAGTCATACCACCGCACACCTGAACAGGACTCTACAGCCAACAGCGTGTGTTGGGTCTTCTGTATTTTTCATTTTCAGGTGTAGAACTTACCTCTGCTTTTTCCTAGAGTAAAAAGAAAGCAATGGAGGCGATATTTAACACAACACCCTGTACTAGAGAAAGAACAAACAGTAATGATAAAAAGGAGCAGATCTTTGCCCAGTGCAAACTGAGGCAATATCACTGAGACAGTCTGCACATAAGCAGCTGGATTGGGACTGTTATCTCATTCAGAACAGATCATACTAATAAATTAACTGCAGAAACCAAAGTGTTCTTGAACAGCCTTGATGATTCCATGCCAGATGATCAAATGCATCGTAATATCAAGAAAAGGAAAAATTAAAAACAAAGCACAACCTTTTGAACTTAAGCAAAAATGTAGACATGCAAGTGGAATATATATTGGTTAATTGAATGCCTATATATTACACTTATACACAAAACAAATTGTGCTTTGATTTATAAAGCATATATATTTCTATAGATTTCATATCTCTGAACTCAAGGAACAGTACAAAGTGAAGATCAACATTAAAAAAGGACTAAAAAAAGGGGGGCAGCAAAACATTTTAAAAAAGACACCAATCAAAAACTAAAAAGTAAAGGCATGCTTTTTCTGCATTTTAAAAATACCGAAGGAGAAAATTAGAGCAACGATTGCAACAGAGGAGTAACAAACACCCAACTGATTTTGGGAGGACAGGAGCAAGCTAAGTAAGAAAAAAACATACTAGCTGTCATTCCTAGATTGATCAGTAGCATGTTGAGGTCTCTCAGCATCAGTTTAGCAGCAGGTCAAGCAGGATCAGAACCTGATAAGGGCAATTTCACTACAAAGGAAAAAGATGCACAAACGGTACTTGTAATATGGGGATCAAAGTTTAAAGCAGAATCAAGATCACACCAACATTTCTAAGCAGAGCGCTACGAACAAATCCAATATAATGAAATGACAGAGACTGACCTTCGAATCTGGTAATTTGATGCAGAGAACTACTATTACAACTGCTTACCTGAACATTTAACATTTTATCAGTATTTCACAAAGAAATTGATACATTTGGATTTTCCGTCTTTGTAGCTTGTTGTAAGCAAAAACGTTGCTGGCTAAGAATCCGATTTATTGGTGAAGAGTGTCCTCAGAACAAAAGATGCGTATTTTAGCCTGAAAATAGCTGGAAGCCACAGCAGAATTACTCCTTTTTGCAGGAAACAGTCTTCTGAATTTATTCAATTGCTATTTTAAGGCAACAAAAACAAATCAATATAAAGACATCTGACAGCACATAAACTGCATACTTGCAGTCATAAGACTTTGAATAGACACTTGTACTCTCCAAAGCAAACTTCTGCTAAAGAATAATAATTCATAGCTAAATTCAGTTT